ACATGGGTTTTAAGCAGAGAAATGGAAATAAATTACACGAAGTTCAAGTTATAAACTATGTTTCTCTTGCTTGAAAGTTCTAAATAAGAGAAAAACTTTTGTCAGATCAGATTTTTATACTTGATTTCTGTATTGCGAAAAGCAAGATTTAATGTGATGAAGTGACAAATTTTTGCTTATTTTAACACTATGTGTGCTAAAATGATCATACAAAATGAGCGGAAGCAACTGTTATAATTTTGTCCGATGAATAATTGCGCATATATATTGATTATGAATTGAAATTTCTAGAGTTCTGTACTTCTTGCAACGATAATTCTTCTGAAGGACATAAATGAATTATAAATAAGCCTGAAGTTCGCTCTGGTCCAACATATTGAGCTGAAACTTGTACTAACAGCATTTTCCACTGGAGTTACTCGGAAAAATTTCAGTCCAAGAGAATCTCTTAAGACAGAAGAATTCGAAATCGATACAAATGCCAACGAAGTCCAATTAATGTCTAATTCGACAAGAGTCATTAGCAGAGAAAATATGGACTGATCTCATAACAATGTCCTGTGTTAGAAGAATTCGGGAACTAAACAATAATAGAAAAGTTAAAAATTGAATCGAGCCTCCCAGGCCTTATTCTGTCATGTTTTAAGCCTACCCAAGCCTAATGGCTTCGCCGCCTATGATTTGAAGTCTAATCTTCAAATGAGATCATTATTAATATCATCTCTTCTAATAAACATCATAGATGTTGATATTTTGATCAAAAAATAATTTAATTTTACCTGATAAATAATATAAAAGAAAAAGATATTCATCATTGATTTATCTTTTTACAGTGAGAAACCATATGTATTGTCCGCGCCAGAATTAGATAGGAGTGGGTGTAAGCTCAATAACTCGACAATGACAACAGCTAGTGATCTGCGGTTTTCAGCAATAGATTTAGAATTGTACCGGATACATGTTTATATAAAAACCAAAGTTTAAGTAGTCAGGTACAATAGAAGTAATTGTAGAGTCACTGAAAGAATAGGCTCATTATTTGAAGAAATCTGTGCAGATCAAGCTGAAACTTTCAACATATATCCCCCTGATCAAAATAAATGGAACACCTTATTTTGACGATTTTGTTCTGTTTCTAATTATCACTGAGATTCATTTTTATACCACAGATACGTCTTTTATTACTTAACTTTTTCTGAAAATGACAGTCCTATCGGATGAGAATTCATTGAGAAAAGTACAATTATGTCTCATGTACTCATGTAGCAGTGTAACAAAAATTCGCTGTTTTCTTGCTGAATGTTCGTCTTCTTTTGTTTCCAATAATACCGACTTTTGCCGCATAAATTAGGTTTTTTCGATTTCATTCTCAGTTTTTCAAGCTTTTTTGGATAAATTGCTTGACAAAACGCTTCAAAAAAGCGTGTAGAAGTGAATTCATTCATCAGAAATCATTATTATTGAAAACAGAAAAAGAAGAAAATTGAGCAAGAAAACAGCGAATTTTTGTTACACTGCTACATGAGTACATGAGACATAATTGTACTTTTCTTAATGAATTTTCATCCGATAGGACTGTCATTTTTAGAAAAAGTTAAGTAATCAAAGACGTATCTGTGGTATAAAAATGAATCTCAATGATAATTAGAAACAGAACAAAATCGACGTAGATGAAGTTAGCACCCGATTCGAGTAATTTCACCCTCGAGTCGTCCACGAACATGTTCCAACCGTTCCAATATGTGTTCCAAGTGCAACTCGATGAGCTCTATCGAATGGTATATTCAGATTTCCGATATCTCAAAGTATGTTTTCAGAAATCCCAAAATACTACTACAAAACCACGGAAATGGTCAATCCAACATAGTAATTCCACCCTCGGTTCGCTCAGGAACATGCTAAACGTGTTCATGCACCCTCACCCTCAAGATAAACACAAGAGAACTTACATATACCATTTGTGGCAAAGATCTTCAATGTAATAGTATGTTTTTATTTCGGAATAAAACCGAACAAAACGCTTTCCTCGATATAACTGTATCGAAAAAGTTTTTTAATAATTCAGTCGATATATATGCAATTCAAGATTTCTTCTTGCTTGATTGCTTTTTTCTTAATTTCTTTGGGCAAGCTTTTGTAATAATTTTTCCAGATGATGAATGCACCATAAACAGAAGTAGAGTGAAGAAAAAAATTTAATATATATATATATAAGATCTAATAACACTGGTGATCGACAAGGGTTGAAAAAATTAATCTATTATTTATTTTCACTAATCTTTTAAATAAATATTTATGGGTGGGTGTGGGTATTCTCTTCATCCACACTTACCCACACCCACCCTAGAGGTATAAGCCGATCAATGTCGGAAGCAGTGTTATGATAATCGAGTTTGACAGCCGGCTCTACTCGGTTATGGCCTTGTTCTGCAGGAAAATCCGAACAGTATATTCCTGTTTTCACCTTCCTACCATTTTTCGGATGGAACCAGCCCTACATCATTCATCTAAGAATCTGAGTGCGCAAAAATGATGAATCACTTCTGTGGGTACACTTGTATGACAATAAGACTTTGCAGATTGAACCAAAAAGATTCTAATGTTAGTTATTCTTCGATCTCACAATAGGAAATCGTATCACAAGACAAAATCAACTACATTTTCTTTCCCATATATCACTGAATAGATATATCATCTTGTGTATTAATATCAAATGAAAGACTTAAACAAAAGAAGTAAACATGCATATATATCGGACAAACAAATGGACATAAAAAAAAAGTTAATTATAGTTTTTTTTCATTAATTATAAATGGATGTTGAAGAAAAGTTTGTGTTTGGAAAAAATAATTAAATAATTGTTTTTGATTTTGTAATGTTTTTTCTATATCATCCGATGATGAATAGCATTTAAATGTATAAATTTCATAAAGATATTCAAATAGACGACTCCATTGTTTTAAATCAGATGTATAAAACTGTTCAATATGATCGATAAGTAACTAGAGATAAAAAAGAAAGAAACGAGAAAATGTTTAGTTTTTTTTTCTTTCTATAATAAATATGATTAATTAATTTACTTGTATTTGTGTGCCGAATAATAAAATTGGATTTGATATATCTGGTAATGTAAAACGACAAACATTTGATAAACGTTCAAGCAATGAATTTTGTTGACTATTTAAATAATCTGTTATATCATTTTCATTATTTTCATTTTGAAAATAAGATAAAATATATTCACAATCAATAAACTCATTAATAAAGCCTATTGGACGGTTTTGAAATTGTTTTGTTAAATTTTCATAATGACATTGTAATTGTTTTAAATAATTAAAACGATTTATATTTGAAATATCATTTTGTCGTGCTAATGCACGTATATTTGAAAATTTTTTTAATTCATTTTCATATTCATTTATTAATGATCGATCATATAAACATAATGAACATTGACATGATGTTATACCATATTGACGAAGTTGATTTGTACGTTCATTTATTGATGATATCCATAATGGACAATAAGATATTGTTAATTCATCACCTTGTCGAACATTTGATGAACATACATATATAAATAAATAATCACCAATTAAATACCATAAACAATTAGGTAAACAAGAATGATTAAACATTGAACAAGATGGATACCAACCATGAGTTGATTGAGACTTGTATGGATTTTGTTGTTGAGTTTCGAATAAAACTCGCCAAGGAATATACGGTGATGGAGGTGGTGATTGTCTAGAAAATGTATTATAAACTATATGATTATATGAATATGCTGAATGCAGATAAATTTTAATTTGATATGATTTAGAAACATATTTTGGTCTCACTAGAGAAGTCCTCCAACTGATAAATTGCTTTTGAGTCGAGACTATGTGCATTATGTAGATCCAAATAAAGAATGAATACTTTGAAAAGCGTTCATGTTCTTAACTGATTGCTACTGGGATACTGTACTTTTATCGTATTTTTTATATGAATGCCGTAGTTCGTCCCAGGAACACAAGGAAAACTCATTTTCGAACTTCAACTTGAAACTTCACATGGAACAGTCTTTAGCGAGAATAGTTTTTTTTTGAAAGTTGTAGATTTTGTTGTTGTTCCTATTTTAAGATGCAGTTATGGTAATACCATGTCTTTTAAAGCATTCATGTAAACTAGCAGATTTTATGTTCTTATTTTAAGAAAGAAGCAAATCAAAAGATTTGAAATTACTCTCGTTAAGGTCGGTCTCTATGAAAAGTTTCATGTCGAACTACAGCAATAGTGTAAGGGTACGAACTCTTTTCAGGATATTCATAGGGTATTTGGATCTACATAATGTGCATAGTCTGAACTCAAAAGCGATTGAATAGTTGGAGGACTTCCTGCGTTAGATTTTTCTAATAAATAGAGAACCTGAAGACAAGAAAAAAACGAAAAGCATTTATATGCAAACTGAAATTTCGCTGACATATTGACCAGGTCTTGATTAGGGCAGTTTCAAACCAAAAATCTAGATCAGGACTTTACCAGCAAAGTGTGATGTAGCAGAAAAATGATAGTAAAACAAGATTTTTAAAGTCTATAGACCTTTTGCATGTGTACAAATGGTGGGTGTGGGTAAACAAAAGATAATCACGCACACTCCACATTCACATCTACTCTTCTGTATGTTATAGCTATTTGAATCTATCAGAGGCATCGATACAAACTGTTCTAACATTCCCTCTCTTGAACTTATTATTTACAAGCATGATACTTAGTATTTTACTGCAAATTTCAGAAAGATTTTTTTTTTTTCGTGCAAGTCATCGAATTGGCTTTGATACATATCTTTCTGCTACTTTGTTCAGTGTTAATATCTATATTATTTACAATACATAGATGTTT